ATGGGAGTGGTAGGGGGAACCGGCGAGAGAAGCGTGAGCGTGTGAGGCCTTAAGGTGAGAAAAGAAAAATGGCGAAGAGAGGCCGAGGCTGCGTCGTCTCGCGTTCGAAGGCGAGAGGGGACGACGCTTTCGCAGATTCCACGTGAGATACCTGCGGCATTCTTCGTTCTGCAGCAGGGCATTAAGCCGGATGCACATTCGTCGTGGACGACGCTCGGTGAATTCATTTCCAGGAAAAATATCTTCCGCCACGAAACGAATTTTACGGCAGATTTTGTTCGCGAACAGACCGCCGGAGAGCGGTTTCTTTCTTTCTCTCCCCTATACTATTTTTCTCCTTCTATCCTTGTTCCTCTTGATGCGTGAAACGGAGGACACGGAGACGCGTGATGTTTTTATTATTATTTTTCTTGTCGTTTTTCGAGGACCGCCTCGGAACCGAGCTACGGCAATAAAACATCTAATCCGACGATAAACCGCGCAGTGATTCTTCCCCGCGACGACGTTTACGCGTCTCTGACACGTTTCGTGCGCGCCGCTGATGCGCACCGAATCGAAGGTAATCCCTCGCGCGCTTGCATCTCTCGCGTCTGATTGGTTGACACTTGACTTCGGACCATGAGATGGTTAAGGAAAAGCTTGCGATTCGGGTCGCCTTTATTTCCTAATTTCTACATTTTCTAATTACTTTATTTGTATTACAGAAACAAAAAAATAAAAAAAAAAAAAAAATAGAAACGTGGAACATAGAAAAATTAAAAATCTTCACATTTTCAAAGATATGTATAGAAGAGGATATTTTAAGAAAATCATTACGTGATACAAGAAAGGATTGTAATACTCGCAAAGAATTTCCTATTTTACAAATAATTATCGAAGATGATTCACGAAGAATCGTGTCATTGTCAACAAGAATACTCGAGCTGATTACATCATACACGCATAGGAATTAATTTTGTAGCTCTCCATTATATCTTGAATGTTTTTCGGTAGCCACTTCGTTAAATAGACACATCGACTTCGACCCTGATACGATCCTCGAAATAAAGCTGTAAGGTGCAACTAATACTATAAAGATTTATATTCGTCATCTTTACATCTAATCTAATACACTGATGCATGCATTAAAACCAAAAAGTGCAACATTTAACCTAACCTATCAAAACTTTTATCACTATTTTCTATCTCTACTATTTTATTCGTGATTTACCGTAAAAATTGTTCATTTTAAAATCGAAAGACAACAAGAAAGATATGAAGAAAGTTTTTGCCAGTATCAGCGAAGAAATTTAATGTACGATGGAATAAAAATAGTGCGAATTGAGATTCCGATCGAGGTGCAGTCGAAGATCAAAACCACAGATAGCAAGGAGAAAAGACAGGCGATGCTGGAGTGCCAGTGGCGCACAAAAGGACACGAAATGATTTATTTCAATGCCCTATCGTGGCCGGCTGGAGCGTATCGCCCACGGTGGCGTTCGAGAGAGGATCATTTGCGCGGGACCACACGCCGAATGAAACAAGAAGAAGTTCAATTACTTCGTGGAATCATCGAAGATTCCTTTGCGGCGTTTTTAATCGAATTCTGGATTTGTCAAATTTTTAGAAATTAGAATATGAAAGAGCAATTAAAAAAGACAAGTGCATCAGTATTATAGGAAAAGTGATCATAAGGTTGATAAAACAGATAAATATGGAGACGGTACAAGACAAAAACGCGTGATAAAGATAGAAGAGATAAAAGAAATGATGAGAAAGAGATACAGAGGTAAAATGATAAAGAAAAAGGGAAAAGATGAGAGGATGATAAATGAGATCAAACTAAAGAAGGT